TTGAATTATTAATGATTGAGGATATCATTCATTGGAGAAAACCATAAGTTGATGTATGTCTTCAGAGTCTCAAATATGAATCATGACGAGCTCCTAGTGGAGTGTGTTTGGATGTGAGATATTTTGCCACAGTGTAACTTGTACGACCAGGTTTTCATGCCTGATGAAAGAGCAAAACATATTTTTCACCAAGATTCAAGAATTACAATGGGAGGCTGAGGCAGAAGAGTTGCTGTGAGTTCAGTCAGTCTGGGGTACATAGCAAATTTCACTCCATTCTGAAATCCTGTATCAAAATAAAAACGTATACGTCCCCAAACACGAAACCAAAAAGAATTACATATGTTATTTCTGGTCATGTAGTTTTTTTGTTTTTTTTTTTTTAAATTCACTGATTCAGTAGCAGACATTTTTATGAAGAACTATGTTAGTTACTATGCTAGGGCAACCATAAGGGAATAATTTATAATATGTGCTCTAATAGCCTTTGTTATGGCTGAGATGAAGGGTCCCCTAAAGGCTTCATGTATTGAAGGCTTAGTTCCCAGTACAAGCAGTGTTCAGACGTGAGATTTTTGGGATGTGAGTGGATCAGGAGGGGTCTGTCTTCATTAATGAATGAATCCATTGATGGATTAAAAAATCTGAAAGGACTATGGGAGATGGTGGAACTGTATACGGTGCGGGTCTGAATGAAAGAGGCCGGTCACTGGAGGGGCCTTGTGGCTGCATATTACCCTGGCCACTTCCTGACACTGCTCCATCTGCCTCCTGGCTGCCTCAAGATGAACAGTTTTCCTCCACCACCCATTCTGCCATGTATAGAGTTGCTCCCACGAGATGGAAAGCCACATGGACCTTACCCACCATGAGCTGAAACCTCAGATTCCATGAGGCAAAGCATCTCCTCTTTCAAGTGTTTCCTTCAGGTTCTTGTCACAGGGTAAAGAGCTGTCACAGCCCTGCTGTGGATGTGAGTAGTTTTAAATACTTAGCACGCATGCACATACCACACACACACGCACACACGAACTCATACCATTCCTTAACCTCTTCTGCAATATGCATGTCTGCTTTTGGCTTACCTGTGGCTGGGTCACGATTGGTTGGTTGAGACTTGAACTGTGGCCTCAAGCTGTTCTCGGAAATGTCTGAGTAGTACGGTTCAATCAGAGAACAGAAAGGATGTGGAGGGGTGTAGGGACTGCGACACCAAAGGCTGGAGTTGGAGAAAATGGTTGGCAGGATTTCCATGTCCCTGCAACAAGAAAAAGGCCAACTTGAATCCTAAAGGCATTTTATGTGGTGGCATTAGTATTCAAGGTACAGTTAAGTAGAAAGCCTGTTTCAAAAACCAGCAGAGAACAGCTTTACTAGACCATACAGGCAGAGCATTTCCATAGTTCTTTGTCAACTTGACGCAAATCTAGACATACTTGGGAAGGAGGAACCTCACATGAGGAATTTCTGCCACCAAACTGGCCTGGGGACACGTCTGTCAGCACTGTCTTCTTTGCTAACTGATGTGGGAGGGAAGGTCCAGCCCACTGTGGGTGGTGCCATCCCTAGGCTGGTCGTCCTGGGCTGTATAAGAAATGTAGCTGAGCAGGCCCAAGGGAGCAGGCTAGTGAGCACGTTCCTCCATGGTCTCCTGCCTTGAGCTCCTGCCCTGGTTTCCCTTGATGATGGACTGTGAGTGTAAGATGAAACAAACCCTTTCCTTCCACAGGTTGATTTTGGTCAATGTCTTATCACAGTAACCAAATAACAAACAAGGCCAGCATTTATCATAGCTGAAGCATTTGCCTACAAATGAGCTTAATTCTGCATACCTGTCCCCAGCTAGCTGGAGGATAAAAAATTCCTAGTACGCTTCTGTCGTCACCTGAACACCGCTAAGGGCATGGCGAAAATATCACCTCTTTATTCCTGAAACAGCCTTCCCTCAAACAGTGCTAAGGAAAAATGAAGGAAACCAGAGGATCTCATAATTCCGTATCATGGATGCCAGCACAGCCTGTAGGCTCAGATCTGCTGATCTATGCACATGCTTTTTGCATGGGAGCCATGGTTACTGATTATGTGTCATACACCTGTCACCCAGTCATTCCCACATGCTCAGTTACTGAGGGCAGGGGGGCGGTATCCTCAACCACCAAGCAAAACAAAGCATCCTTTACTTTGTGAGCGAAGGCTGGACCACTTCTAGCTGACACTTAGGGGACTCTTTCTTCAACAGACCTTGCCCTTCTTTACTTATGGAAGTCACAGATGTCGTCCACCGAAACATATGGCTTCGCAGTGATGGGACGGTGACTGAACATCCCTCGAATTCAGTGTCAGTCTCTAACTTCTCCCAAGCTTGCTTCCAGTGAATCGGAGTACACCAGGCAATAGCCTAAGGACATGAAAAGGATTTCCAGTATAAAATATCTCTGAAGTTGTATGTCTGTAATAGGCTTATTATAATATAATGCATTTATTTGGTTTGAGTTTTAGTTTGGTTTTTTGAGACAGGCTCTCACTTTGCAGTCCAGACTGGTCTGGAACTCACTGTGTTGCCCAGGATGTTCTTGAACTAACTCAGGGTGATCTCTTGCTTCAGCTTCCAGAGTGCTGAGATTAAAGGTATGAGCCACCACACCTGGCTTAGGCAGAGGCAGGTGGGTCTCTGAGTTCAAGGCCAGCCTGGTCTACATATTTCCAGGCCAGCTGGGGCTATAGGGAAGACCCTGTCTCAAAAAAAAAAAATTGTTGTGTGTTCTTTATATTTCCAACATAATGGTAATAAATGTACACATACACACATATATATAAAATCATGATGAAGAAAATATATCATTTCACACAGTTACTTTTTCAGGTGGGTCTCTGAGTTCAAGGCCAGCCTGGTCTACATATTTCCAGGCCAGCTGGGGCTATAGGGAAGACCCTGTCTCAAAAAAAAAAAATTGTTGTGTGTTCTTTATATTTCCAACATAATGGTAATAAATGTACACATACACACATATATATAAAATCATGATGAAGAAAATATATCATTTCACACAGTTACTTTTTCTGTGACAAGAACAAGTAAAATTGACTTTAGAAAATCCCATATTCAATGCCACTTACGTCATTAAAGTTCTCACACTCCACATTCAATCTCTAGACTTATTTCTCCTATACATCTCCCTTGGGTATATTCCCCAAAGACAGACTTTTGGACCATATGTTAATTCTGCCATGAATTTCTTTAAAACAGCCCTTCCACAAGCTCCTGCTACACAGGAGGGCTCTGTTCCATAGATAGATCTTAAATGGAAAATAAGGGACGGGGACACAGCCAGGCACTGCAAAATTGTAAGCTGAAGGCACGAATCCAATGCGTCAGCGTGACTGATGGACAGCATCTCGTCCTATTTCAAAGTCCACAGACTCACAGAGTCTTAGTGATTATAATTTACAATCTCACATTTTATCACGGAGGAATTATTGTTGGGAGACCTCTGTTATGCAAAAGTTGAAGCCCCTTCACACCGGACAGCTCATGCAGCTCATAGCAAGGTGCTTTCTGGCATCTTTCCTGTCTCTCCCTTTGAAGTGGCCACCACAGATGCCTTGACATAAACATGGCCTTTGGCTCTATGCATACCATGCCTTCCTGTGTGTGGTTTTTACAGGTAGACAATAGTCTAGCAGAAACCCACTTCCACATGTAAATAGAATATCTCACAAAGTATCTAAAAGCTTTTACCACTACCCCCATGGTATATAAATATGCTAGTCTTCTCTTAATAGTCGGAGATCAGGTCAGAGACTGGGACCACCGGAGAGCAGCACTCTCCGTTACCAACCCACGGATACCCCAGCCTCCGTGCTTCTTCCCTGTGGAGTTCACTGGCCAGGACTCCGCAATCCTGAGGAAGGGCACAAGGGTGTAATAGGGGCGGGATCGCGACTAGATAATACTCTAGTAGCAGAGGAAGCTCTCAGCTCCAGAGAAGTGTGTAGCTATCAGCTACAGCCAGCATCAGAGAAGTCTGCGCACCTGCCATCTCCAGAGAGACTAGCCAGCTGGACCAGAACCACGGCGGCGGGAGAGTGCACGCACACCTGACCCTGGGCCACATCCAGAGTGAGTGCGCGCCCGGGAGCCCAGGCGCGCTCCCCACATCGCTTGCAGCCAGACCCACGCCGGGATTAGCCAGGTGTGGCGGAGACCCCAGGGTGCCCGCACACACCACACCGGGGGTCCAGCGACCCGCCCTATAAATTATGATGACAATTACCTACAGAACTGACTGCAGGCCAAGCCCTAAATCCCTTTATATCTCACCACAAAAACCTGCAGCTGTATTGACTATCAACTAGCATGATGTCAGGAACAATATGGTTCAAGGGTGGTCTAAGTCATTCTTTATATTTAGGTTTCTTTTGAAAAGGAGCTGTAATGTAATGTGTGCTTTGC